AAAAAAACTAATAGGACAATATTTATGGTCAGGACGGAGAAAAATGTTAGGCTGGAGACAAAAAAAAAGCATCGTCCAAGATTTTTTGGCAACGATTGTAGTTAGTAACTACAGTCAACTCAAAAAAAAACGGACACCCTCRGGACCGTAATTTAGTGACCGCAGTAGCGAKAGTCCGTAGTAAAAAAAATTACTTTCAGTCATTTTCTTTGTATTTTTTGYCGGGGATTCAGTATTTTATTGTCCGCAATATCGAGGTGTCCGTTATAGCGGGGTGTCCGTWAGRCGRGAGTTGACTGTATRTAAAAAAAAATGTTATGGAYGAATGTAAAATATTGCAATTGCGCACGCTCGTCAAATCAATCAAAAAAAAACGGAAATGACGTATARTTTCTAATCATGACGTTACAGTCGAAKACGTGCGACAAAAAAAAAATTAACGTAGCTAATGATCGTTTTTGTTTGCTAACTCCAGCGATGGGTTAGTAAAAAAAATCTCGTCCGAAATGAGCGAGRATTTAGAGCAACTTGGAGCGCTWTTTTGCGCTAAAAAAAAAGTTTTCGCGTACGATTTTGCACTTTGGGTTTATCAAATCACAAGTAAGTAATAAAAAAAATTTGTTTCGAACGTTTCATGGAGAGCATGCGTTGATCAAGTGTTCTTTTTTTTAAAAAAAATTTCGTAATTTTTTACTTGATTGATACTCTACTATTAAATGTTATCAGGTTCAAAAAAAAATGGAATTTGCACATTTTCGTGGCCGCTTCTGCCGCGTTTTTTATTACTTGGTAAGTGTGGAAGTTAAGCGGGGATAGGATTTTGCGCGCTTGACTTACGTTCCGCAACCAACGTAAAAAAAACAATGAAAATTACAAAAGTAAAGTTGGTTACCTTAAAAGGGATTAAGAAATAAAAAAAAAAGAAAATTGAGAGAGAAAGGATTGGGAAACGGAATGGAATAAAAAGAGAAAAAAAAAAAAAAATGACAGAAAGAGACAAATAAAGAAAAACCAAGAGAGGATTTGGCAGTAGGTTAAAAAAAAGGAAAAATGAGAGAATCAGAGAAAAAGGAAATGAGATGGAAAGAATAAACTAAAAAAAAAAGACAAGACAAAGAAATATAAAAAATCAAAATGACTTAAAAATGGGACGAGAATAAAAAAAAAAAAGAAGGTAATTGGATATACGAAAATTAAATTTATAAAGATTAGTAATGAAAAAAAAAAAAGAGGAAAGGCAAGGGACAATTTACCGTGTTTGTAATTACAAATAAATAAAAATCGAAATGATGCATTTCCCTCATTTGGTTATTAGTTAGAAATTATGTTTCTTTTCTTTTGTAGGTTTGTATTGTCAATCAATTCACCTGAACTAGACCTTGTAGAAAATGTTGAGGACAACAAAAAAAATCTACAACAAGTCTCAGAGAATTCTTTGCTGTTTGGTGACTTGAACAATGAGGAAAAAAAAGACACTGCACAAAAAGGTAACAAGGGTTTGATTGGCTTATTTTCTCCTACTTTAAAAAAAACYTCYCATCCTCCTGTTATCCCTTTCATTGCATTGCTTCTATCTGTCTTTCTTAAAAAAAATTCCACCTGCCTCCCTCTCTTCCCTCCTCCTGTTACTTTTATCTTTTCTTTCTAAAAAAAACATTTTGTYGTTTATAACCCCATTCTCCTTTTATTCCTTCCTTATCTTGCTTCAAAAAAAATTTCCTGTCTTCTTTTCCATCTTCCTTCCTTTCTCCTTGTATCTCATCCAGCAAAAAAAAATTTTGTCTTTCCTTTCTTCCAATCCTCCTGTCTTTTATCTTACTCCCCTTTCTAAAAAAAACTCTTCCTTCATTGCCTGCTTCTTTCTTTTTATCCTCCCTTTCCTCCTTCCTTAAAAAAAACCCTTCTTCTTTTATTCCTTCCTACATTCGTTACTTCTATTTTTCCTTCATTTAAAAAAAATTGTCCCTCTCTTGATAATTTCTTCTCTTCTCTTCCTTCTTTTTTTTCTTGTCAAAAAAAATCTCTTGTTATCCAATCCTTATCCCATCACAAACTTCTATTCCTATCTCTTCCAAAAAAAATCTTTTTTCTTATTTCTGTCCTAGCATTTTTTTTGTATCTAAGTTTGTTTTTTAAAAAAAAATCTAAATTTGTATAAATTAAATTAAATTTTCATTTGCTTCATTTGCAGAAAAAAAAAAAAAAGATGTATCAGTTAACACATCTGTTTGTGATAATGAGATGGACAGCACTGACTGTGATGTAGATGTCGTCCAAAGCCAACAAACCTCTGTCAAGAGCAGTGACAGCAATGAATATGCGGATTGCAACGAGACTGTTCAGGTAGAATACTTTTGTAAATAATTCTTAGACATTAGAAAAAAAAGAAATGAAGATAAGTGAACGACTTGGTGCAGTGACATTTGATAGTTTATAGGAAAAAAAAATGATTTCAAAAGCCACACTTTAAGCTGTAATATTTTTAAGTGTATTATCATTAAAAAAAAATTATTATCATCATTTAGAGATTAGTCTCTTGTTTTTTGTTTCTTCATAATATTAAAAAAAAATAAGTTAAAACAATGATTATCTAGTATAATATGAGTCAATTTTTTCCTTCTGAAAAAAAAAATGATTTGAAATAAAACTGTATTTAGTATTATAAATTGTATTATCGTCTTAGAAAAAAAAATATAATCAAATTATTATCATTTACAGCCTTTTGCA